AAAATCTAATGTCAATCAGTGTTAACCCTTTGGCAGCCGCACATTTCATTTAATGTTTTTCGGTGGTTTTCAAAAATGGTTCTACTTTCAGAGGCAGTATTCACCACATCGTCTCGCGGCGCCAGAACCCTCTACATCTCAGGGTTCCGATTCCTCCGCCACCGTCAGAATNGGCAGAACGGTGGAAAGACCAGGTGGTACTGCGGCACTCATCACCGCTTGGGTTGCAAGGCTGTGGTGTTCACCGTGGACGGTGATCAGGTGATCAAGTGCCGGAACCAACATAGTCATCCCCCTAAAGACCAATATTAGTCGAAGTTGGGACCTTACGAGTATTATGGGAATGTGCTTGGAAGCACTATTGATTTATTTAACTCTTAATTTTGAAACTTTTTGGTATCTGACTTCGAGCCCAGTCAAAAGTAAGTTCAAAATGTGGATTCTTATTTAATGTATTGTTTCATTCTTTTTAACTTACTTGCTTCAGGCCGCGATTTCGTCTTTCGAAAATATGCAATTAAAAACTCGAATTATACGAGTATAAGTAATTGAAGTATAGATTTTTTATAATTTTGTAGGTGCATTTAACGTTATATTTTGAAGTATAATTATTTGTACAAGTATACATTCTCAAAAATGTATTAAATAAGTAGCTTATTTTATAGTTCTTAAAGTTAAGTTAGTTTCAGGTACCTATTAACTCAAACAGTATTAGAAAAATTACGTATTTCAAAATATTACCTAAGTTAANTAAGTTAAAAATATTTTTTATTCAAAAAGTAAGTTTTTTATTTATCTAAGTGGATTAATTTATAGTCACAACAATTTATTTATGTACAACAATAAAACTGATAAACGCATATTTTAGTTTTTAAGATGTGTAGAGCAATAAAAATACATGCTATTTTCTTCTATTTTTTATTTTAGTCTAATACCTACAGAGGTACATCTATTTTCTTTAAGAATATTATATTATAACTTTACACAAATTAGTAATTATAGTCCCGTTAACCCCTCACACTAATGCTTGTGTTACGAGTGGGTTATGGCGGGGTTCGAACCAGCGTGCCTCGGATATCGAATCGGCCAGTTCGACACCTTCACCGTTCGGTTATTGTGGTTTCTATGGAGTAATAAATAGGTACTACTATTAAAAATAATACTACTGTTAAATGCCATAATCGCGTGTCCTTAATATTAAGAAATTTCAATCTTGGGCCACCCCTAAGCCGCATATTTAGTTTTATACACGGTATCCTTCCGTTTGGCCAAATTACTTTTCGCCAAATTTCAATTCGCAAACAACTTATCGCCAAAGTTTCATTTCCCAAATGAACTTTTAGCAACTGTACTTTTTCGCAACTAATTCATTTGGTCAAATTATCATTTGGCAAAATTTTACTTGGCAAATATTTGATTTTGCCAAATATTATATCCCAAATAATTTATTTGGTCAAATTGACATTTCACATACTTACCCACTGTTACCCACAAATCAAAGCATATGCAGATGATCATGGTTTTCACAAGAATTTTATGTAAAACNTTTTTAACTTACTTGCTTCAGGCCGCGATTTCGTCTTTCGAAAATATGCAATTAAAAACTCGAATTATACGAGTATAAGTAATTGAAGTATAGATTTTTTATAATTTTGTAGGTGCATTTAACGTTATATTTTGAAGTATAATTATTTGTACAAGTATACATTCTCAAAAATGTATTAAATAAGTAGCTTATTTTATAGTTCTTAAAGTTAAGTTAGTTTCAGGTACCTATTAACTCAAACAGTATTAGAAAAATTACGTATTTCAAAATATTACCTAAGTTAATAATATTCTTAAAAAAGTAAGTTTTTTTATTAATTTATGTGGATTAATTTAAAGTAACAACAATTTATTTATGTGCATCAATAAAATCCTGATAAACGCATATTTTAGTTTTTAAGATGTAGTAGAGCAATAAATTACGTGCTATTTTCTTTTGTTTTTATTTTACTCTAAAAATATACACATTTACGAAGAAATTACTAATAGTCTTATTCTATTATTATTCAGGCAGTTAAATACTGCACAGTATTAATTACACCACCGTTTTTACATACATAGCTTATGTCTTTACAATACAAATGGGTGAAGAATACACGTGTGTGCGTCAATACTCGCTCGTGATTGTCCTTTCGATTAGATATCTCAGTGTGCCTACCATGAGTTTACGTTAGGTGAGCTCGCTAGCGAATACGTCAAAAAATTCTATGAAGATTTTATTTCTTGAAAGTAGCCGCTAGGGGCGCTGCACAATATGTCATACATTTAAATGTCATTTTTTTACGCAGTCGCTAGCGAGCACACCTAACGTAAACTCATGGTAGGCATGCAGGAGGTGTAGTCGCGCGTGTTTTGTTTTCAAAGCAAACTCGCGGAGATGAACAGGCCTGCCTAACTTCGAACTTCTATGTTCTTCTGATTTATTTAGTTGCGGGTTCAATCACAGTTTAACTTTGCGGGACAAACTTGACCTTCACTGGTTGGGTTTTTATTGGCAATAAAGCTGTAGATCCTGGCTACACAGGAGTTGCAGCGGTGGGAACGAGGGGTGGGAATATTTTATTTTACTGTACTTTGTATTACAGGAGCAGTGTTCGCCCCGTCCGTCCGTGGCGCACGAGCCATCCATATAGGAGGGTTCAGGTTTCTCCGGCACCGCCACCGGAACGGCAAGACCCGGTGGTACTGCGGGACTCATCGGAAGATCGGCTGCAAGGCTGTCCTCTTCACCACTGAAGATAACGAGATTGTTAAATGCCATAATATATGTACATACCCATTACCCGGTAGAAGCGATAGGCAGGAAATGAATCGATAATTAATCAATTCCAAGACTAAATCTTGGAATTGATTATCGACTGAATCCTAGAATTGGTGTCAAACTGAAATAAGATGCGTGATTTGATAAAATCTTATCGATGACTATATGGGTTTATCACGTAAATGGATAGAATGTCTCGATAAAAGTTTATCGTGGTCCGGATCTTAGGCCTACTGTAAGTCTATTGGCGGCATTGTATGATTTGTATGTATGTAAAACAATACATACAATGTCACAATTTTATATCCACTGGCCAAATGGACGTCACTGTAATCAATGGATCTAAACCAACGCGATCACACGCGATCAGCCGGCGTGCAGCGATGGCGATCAGACTAATGCATTGGTCGCCATCGCTGCACGCCGGCTGATCGCGTGTGATCGCGTTGGTTTGGCCAAACCTTTAAGGATTTCAAAAGTTTAAGTTCCTTGGGGGAGGTATTTGTCCAGCAGTGGACGTCATTCGGCTGAAACTAACGAACGAACAAAGCTTTAAACCTTTTTAAGGGTATACTTATTTATAGCAACAGACTTATAAAATTAAAAAAATCTAGTCATCTAAGAACCTATTTATTTCTTCCTAAGTAAGGCTGAGTTGCACCACTTTATCTTAACCGTAACCGTAACAATAACCGGTGGTTTTTGTATGGAGTTTGATAGATTTTAGAGGTTTGTCAAAGTTTAAGTAAGATGGTGCAACCCGGCCTAAATCTTGAGGTACTAATTTTTATGATGACCCGAATTTCTCGACATGAATAGGACGATATAAAAAAAAATATTTTCATTTCAGAGGACCAAGTAAAGCCCCTTTGGGTTTCGTTCCTGCAGAGTTACCACGCCCTCGAAATGAGTTCGAAACGGAGAAACTGTGCAGGTTGCTACGAGAGGTTGCGAATAACCATGAACAGTGTCCAGGCAAAGCAAAAAGTGAAAAAAATAAAAACATACTGCAGGACTTGCAAGCAAAACCTTTGCGCGACATGTTTTAAAGACAGGCATTTTAGAGATTAAAATCATTTTTTATTTATGTTACGCTCATTGTTTTATTTTCTGTCTCCTCTTATTTATGTGTACTTATAATGTGTATAAATTATGTATTCGCAAAGTTATGGCATTTTACTCTACCCTAGTGCCGGTGGGTCGAGAAACATCTGCTATTGATGCCATTTTTTAAATTAAAATTCATATAATCATCATCACATATTATTATATTCTTTCTGTATTAAATATGGATCTTTCTGTTTTTATAAGGACCTCTTCGTTCACATTCTAAGTGTCCACTGTTAACTATGTTCCATAAATAAATGTGTTTTGTTGTTTTCTTTTTATTCATTTGTATTTTATTTATTTTCGTGTTAATTAGTTTTTTTTCATTCATCCTTTGTAAATAAACATTTTTTACTTTGACTTTTGACTTTCATTTTCCAGCTGCTTACTTCTCCCAGTCGTCCCGAGGAGCCAAGATCATTTGCGCAGGCGGGTACAAGTTCACCAAGCAGTGCAAGTTCAAGATGAAGACGAGGTGGTGGTGTGGCACCTCCAGGGCTTGTCCAGCTGTCGTGTACACCGTCGAGGATGAGATTGTGTCGTGCAGGAATGACCATAACCATCCGCCGCCATCTTATTTTTAGAGTCTCGATAAGTTTTTAAGTTTTTTGTGAAGGTTTAATGTAACCTTGTTGGTGATAAAATAAATAAAGTAAAATGACCCACCGAACCCCTCACTCTCTATTTAAATGAAAATGAAAATCTTTTATTTCAATTAAATGGTTACTTTATTAATTTTAACCTTTTATAAATTATAATCTTGAGCGTAAGCCAAAATCATATGAATGATTTCTTCTTGAATTTATTTTATTTCATTAAATGAAAAAAATTCTTATCGTAATTATAATTTGTTTTAAAGATTTTAGGTTAAGATTTCAGTACAGTCAACGTCAGATACTTAGAAACACCCCAAGTGGCCAAAAAGACTTGTTGCGAACTTTTTGGCTACTTTGGGTGTCACGAACTATTTGACGCTGACTATACATACGGGTTTTCTAATTCTCACATCTAGTTAAAGGTTTGATTCTCCCAAACACCATTTTTGTCTCTTTAATCTCATTTCTATGCCTTAGGTCCAATATTCTGCATGTCGTCCCGTGGAGCCTTGATGATAAGTTTAGATGGGTTCAAATTCCTCAAACACACGGTGTCGAAGGGCGGCTTGAAGACCAGGTGGTGGTGTGGGACGCACAACCACAGGGGATGCCGTGCCGTCGTCTACACTGTGGCCGACAAGGTCTGCAGTGTCAAGAACGAACACAACCACCCTCCACCGACGCGGTTTTAAAGATGTGTCACAGTTAGACTAGGCGCAGACCATCGATTTTTAGTTGTCCGATAGTTGTGTCCGATTCAAATTGTATGAAGAATCGGCCAAATTGAATCGGCGTAATGTGCGCACTTCCTTACATGCCCATTGCCCATACTGATCAACTGCCCGACTAAACTATCGGCCGACGAAAAATCAATGATCTGCGCATAGGCTTAAGATTCGGCCAAACCAACGCGTGCAATCACGTCGGCGATGGCGATAGCGATTGCGATCTCTGCGCATGCATAGATCGCCACGACCAATGACGAACTCATATCTCTACATATTCATACACGACATCAGATTCTGATAGCCATCGCCATCGCTGCACCATGGTTTCTTAAGGACATGTCAGGCCAACTAATGTACTGTCCAGCCTGTCCGTCTTGTGTTAGGCTTTTATGTAAATGACGTGCCAGTCGAAACTTGAGCACATAAGTAAAGCCGTGACGCAATTTTTAGAACATTAGGGGTTATAAAAAGCTATGATTATATATTAAAAAAGGTAAGTCAATTTAAGCACCTAGTCCGGCTTTTGTGTTTTTGGCCCTGTGGTAACCCTAGTCAAAGTGGATACGGTCTGCGGTACTGATCACTTTGACCTGACCGCAGACCGCAGCCAGTGAAACAAATCATTCAGCCCTGGGCATAGAATTATAACACCTAGAACACGAGCAAGGGCAAGAAAAGTCAGGCACATCAACTAGACAGGTGCTTTTTCCCATACAACTAAGCAGGTCCTTAGTTTTTCCTATACATTCTGACAGTTGACGACGTCAAATGCTAGTGAAAACGTATGTAAAATGACATTGTATGACATTTATTTTGCCTAACTTTAGACGAAGCGCTTGTATAAAGAGACTATCCATCAGGTGCACAAACACCTAGATGGATAATCTCCATCCTTCACCCAAGGCCCTGGGCATAATTTAGTATTGTTTTTCGTTTTTAGGCCTTAATTAAGGCAGTAAAGGTCAAATATTATGTACCTTCTTTTAGGCAGCTCGAAATTTAATATTAAGAAAGTAGATGTGAAATAAAAAAAATGGTACCTAATACATTTTGTGTTGTGTTTCGGATCTGGATGGTCAATGCAGTTTTTTGTATTTTTGGCGATACCTAACTTTTACTCATTTGTAGGGTATTACGAGTATTAGTGCTATTCATACGTGATTTTTGTTGTAACAACAATTTAATGAACAAAAACTTTTTTGAAAGTGTCAGTATTTTAATTTTAAGTTTAGTTATTAAATTTTGATGATCTGTTAAAATGCGATGTATTTGTGAATTATCTGTGTTTTCTTCCCCTAATAAATGTGTATTTCATTTAACTTTGGATTTCATTAGGCTTTGTAAAAAATCTATTTTTATTTCTGTAATGGCACCATGGTCTTAGCAATAAGTAATCTTATGTAAACTTTACGTTATTTAATTCCTTCATTCATTAATATTTTGTTTTAATGGTGGTTTGTGGTTAGCCATAGTTTTTTCGTACACCTTTTCTAGACCAGGGTCTCTTAACCAGTGGTATACAGCATGACTCACGCCCGTATTCACAAACATTACTATGAGGTCTCACAGTGCGCGTGGGCGTACAGGGTGACACATGAACCAATCACAGAGCTCTATCAACGCTGTGCGTTCGATTTGCTGCTTCACTTAACCAAACATCGTTTGTGAATACGGGCATCAAGTGCTTATAAAGCCATCTACGAGTATTTCTTTTGAACCAAAGCAAAAGCAATCATGGTACAAAATAAAGAACTCTATAAAGTATGTTAGACTTTTTTTAATAAGTGTTTTTTCTCAAAAGCCTTTATAGACCCAATATACTGAACTGTCCTACCCGTGACATTGACAGCGGGGCGCCACCGTCAATACCGGATCGCTGGTTTCGATTTTTGCCATGTTGGAAACTATACAGTTGAACGATGGTGGCGCCCCCCTGTTAATGAAGAATTTGGTGGGACAGTTTAGTTTAGGTCATCTATATTTGGAACGGTTCCGTCAGATTGTCTTAAAATTAATTTCAAGTCTGACCAAGAAGGTTAAGAAACCCTGGTAACATCATCATTAAGCCCAATATCAGCGACATCTCTTCCATATTCCTAAGAATCTCATTATAAATTCTCGCAGGCATATCCTAACCAGACCTTTCTTTCAGACCGGCCCACATTCTTCACCTCCAAAATCGGCGCGCGTCTGATGCAACTCCGAGGGTATCACTACACCAGGCGTTCTGTCTGCTCCTCCAAGGTCCGGTGGCTCTGCACCGAGAGTAGAGACAGGAACTGCCACGCCGTTGTGGTCACCATTGGGAGGACCATCATCGATAGGCACAATAAGCACAACCATCCACCGAAATAGCATTAGGCCCGCTCTGCTGATGCGGAGATGAAAAGTGACTTTGGGATAGGAAAACTGTGAAGGTTTTAGTGGACTTGGAACCTCGTTTGACATGTTTTAGGATATTTCGGAAGTGTAAGTGTTCGTGAGTACGTGACGTGTGTAACGTACCTACTAAAGCCTGGTCCGTAAGCACGTAGAATCCCGTCCAATGACCCCAAGCTAACCATCCTTATCGCTCGCGCGTACCTAATAATATTGCTGTCGCGACTGTGCGACGCGCGCCCGCAGTGAGTGTGCAAGCGCGACAGCAACATAATTACGTGCGAGCGACAAGGATGGGCAGCTTGGGGTCATTGGACGGGATTCTACGTGCTCACGGACCAGGCTTTAGAAGCTATCTATAGGCTTAACTGGTATCTGGGGTATGGGAGCGGCACGTGAGTTTTTGTAACATCAAACGTCAGCAAGACTTCAGATCTCCTGCAGATTTATATGCTCTGTTACGTCATAATATAATGTCACGCCTCCCGTGCCGCTCCCATACCTCAGGCACTGACTGAGTTAAACGCTAGACCTATAGTATACAGGGTGGAAACGATAAGTGATCTCACTCGATTATTTCTAAACTATACAAGATATCGAAAAACTGGTTACTGATCCTGAAAGTGCTTCACAAGCTCTTTCAAACGGTACCAATAATAGGTTACACAATAAACTGGAACTATCGAAAATTCAAAGTTTCCAGCTTCCATACAAAATGTATGCCAACCACACAATACTAGAAGTGTAATTTATTTTTTGTTTAATAATAAACTTAAATAGTCGGTTAAATAAACTCGTAACTTGCAATTCATTTAAAATTATTTGTGGAAAACATTAGTTTGAGGCTTTACTTACTATAATATTATCAAGAGATGAGTGCCATGACTCTGTTAGTACTAAATGTATGGAAGATGAAAACATTGAATTTCTTAATAGATCCCATTTATTCTGTAAGCTATTGTTGATACCGTTGGATAAAGCTCGTGAAGCACTTTTAGGATCAGTAACTAGTTCTGCGATATCTTGTGTAGTTTTTAATATTATGTAACTTTGCCAAATGTATGGAAGCTGGAAACTTTGAATTTTCGGATAGTTCCAGTTTATTCTGTATCCTATTATTGGTACCGTTTGAAAGAGCTCGTGAAGCACTTTCAGGTTCAGTAACCAGTTTTTCGATATCTTGTATAGTTTAGAAATAATCTAGTGAGATCACTTATCGTTTCCACCCTGTATATATACAATTTACATATTATCATACACCACACCCTGGGCCATACATATCGCGATAACCCGAAGATTCGCTCAATCACAATGTGTTTAGAAAAGTATTCGCGCATAATGTATTGTGCTTTTTGTATTGTCGCAAGACTTCGCCCCGCTGTCAAATCGGTGTTGCCGGAATGTTATCGCGATGTGTGTAGCCCAGGGGTAAGGAAAAGCATTTATGACTCCATACTCGTATTGTGTTTATTTGTTGAATAACATGACTTCCAAAATAGGTACTGTTACTATTTCTGTGTAATTCTTGTGGACCTATAAGAGCAAATTGATTGATTTAAGAGAAAATTGTGGAAAAAACTGTATTTTTTTTGTTTTTACCTTTGTTAGACAAGGGTCAAATGACCCGCGACACATCGTGCATGAATATATATAGGTCAGCATTTTATTCATTGATTCTTCTTATCAATTTTTTAATTATTTCTGACCATCCAGCGAGTCTTGCATGAAGTCATAATGCTAAAATGTTTCAAAATAATTGGTTTTTGCCTACGGAATATGAAAGATCTCCTTTAATTTATCCAATATTAATATTGTAAGTGTTAATATTAATTTAAATTTAAAAATAATGCATGCTTTGTTATTTTATGTAGAATAGGCGGAAATTCGATCCGCTATGGCACAATTAAAATTAAACTAAATGGATCTGTATGCTCAACGAATTAGCTATTGTTTGTAGGTATAAATTGTTGATATTTGTAAGTAATCCCTAAAGGTTAAGATGTATAAATTGTTGGTATAAAGGTTTAGAACTGTTTGTGGACATCATCATCATCATGATGATTTGACCCCCAATGATTTCCATGTTGATCGATTGGTAGCGGCCTGCAGCGCCTTCCTGCTACCTTTGTGATGTCGTTTGTGGACAATATTGGACAGTCAAATATTCTTTTTTTGTACATAAATGTCTTTAGACTCCCCGACTACAGACTTTTGTTGGCCGATAGCTGATTCTAGTCTGTATGAAGATCAGCCGATACCAAAACGGTGTAATGTGCGCACTTTTATACATGTTGTAGGGCCTAGTTGAGACTCTCAGGTCATGAGGCCTTGTAGTTTGACATTAAAATGTCACTACAAGCAAGCGTACCTATCATTTTGATTTTTACTTAATTATATCGTATGGTTGTATTGTCAGATGTCTGTTGAAGCAGGGACAATTTTTGATGTCGACTATACCAATGGTTCTAAGCCTTTAAAAGGGTACGTTGAAAAGTATTTGGATATTGTGTTCATAATTTTTAGACTGTCCAAGTAATCCCTTATAAGTATAGTCAGCTGTATAAACTGTTGAATATTTGAAATTGCCAAGTCTAAAACTGTATTTGTCGTGTGTATCTTTAATTGAAGTTCCATAAAATGATTCCTATAGACTTTGTGATTGTTAGATACGTGAACAAATTGATGTGATATTAATTGTAGATAGTAAACATATTAGCCATCAACTATACTTGTCCCATCCTAGTGTCTATTTACCCATAATTTTTTTGCATTGTAAATATTAAAAATAATTTGTTTCTCAAATAAGTATGCAAGACAATATTCATTTTATCAGTTGCAACGCGTTAACCGTAATTAACTGTAACCAGCTATACTAAAACACATTGATCTGATCTCTTTCTTTTAAACTCTGTCTGAATGTTCTTTATTTATGTATGATTTTTATCTATCTAGTAGCTACGTATAAACAATGTTTACAAAAAGTAACGCAGTTCTGAAACTTTCAAGAATATTTTTAAAATAATCACAAAAAATATTACCATAATATTAATATTAAATTGCTACTATGTATAACATGTTATATTTAACGTATAATACTCTATCTGGTCTCTCTTAATCTTTGTGCAAGTGTATATTATATGTGTAATAATAATGTTTTATCATAATACGTTCAGCCGTGTGCCTTTAGTCTATAATGTAACACTGAATCATGTTGTTTTAGCTATTGTTATAACGGTTTGTAATTTTGTGATATACGCATGTTTATTGTCTGACATCTTCTTGTAATAAATATTGATGGATCATTTAATTTCAATTTATTTATTTTTACAAAAAAGAAAGCAAGAGATCTAAAATGACGTTTGTTATTTTTTGACTAGCTGACCCAGCAAAGTTCGTACCGCCTATGTTCATTAGAAATAATGTAATGGTGAAAGAAGTCTAATATATTTATATGTTTCATGAAATGCCGTATTTTTCAGGTAGAAAGAAGCGCAGACAAAAACTGACCAGGGAAGAAAAACTAGAGAAAAAAAGAATCGCAGAGAGACTAAGAACAGAAAGAATCCGCGCCGACCCAGTTTTGATGGCGCTGTACAAAGAAAAAAACAAAGAAAAATATATTAGAAAAAAAGAACGAGGCAAATTCATCCCTATGAACCTTTTGCCCAAGAAGGAACAGGCACTACGCAGGAAAAAAAACCGCGAATCCTCCAGGCTGTATTATTATAGAAAAAAGCTTCAAAAACAAAATGAAAAAAGTGTTAAAATTTTTGTTAACGAATCTGATGTTCAAAATGATGATGATGGTGAATAAAAGTTTGACGATGTGAAAAATTAGATGTGTTTCTTGTCAAAATTTCACCTCTGCAGCCAAGTTTGTAAATTACTAATTCTTTTTTAAATAGTCCAGACGTTGACCTACGTGACGGTATAAATAAAAATAAAATAAATAGAAATAATGTAACATTATAATTATGATTGTTAAAGAGGGCTACACAAAACAAGGTGTACAATTCAAACAATAAACTCTTTCTTCTTTAGAATATTAGTGTACACGTAGAATTGTAAATAAAACCATTAATATTTTTCAATGTTTAATTAAATGCTTTATTTTTCAGGTAGAAAGAAACGCAGAAGAAAACTGACCAGGGAAGAAAAACTAGAGAAAAAAAGAATTGCAGAGAGACTAAGAAAAGAAAGAATCCGCTCCGACCCAGTTTTGATGGCGCTGTACAAAGAAAAAAACAAAAAATGCATATTAGAAAAAAAGAACAAGGCAAAGTCATCCCTATTAATCTTTTGCCCAAGAAGGAACAGGCACTACGCAGGAAAAAAAACCGCGAATCCTCCAGGCTGTACTATCATAGAAAAAAGCTTCAAAAACAAAATGAAAAAAGTGTTAAAATTTTTGTTAACGAATCTGATGTTCAAAAGGATGATGATGAATAAAATTTTGATGATGAGAGAAATTAGATGTGTTTCTTGTTAAAATTTCACCTCCACAGCAAAGTTTGTTAATCACTACATTTTTAAGATAGTATAGACGTTGGCCTACATGACGGAATAAATAAAAAGAATAACAAAAAAAATAGAAAAAATGTAAGATTCTAATGGTGAAAGAAGCAATGCAATACAAACAATAAAATCTTTCTTCTTTAGAATAGTGTAGACGTAGAATTGTAGATAATTCGACTAATATTTTTCTATGTTTAATAAAACGCTGTATTTTTCAGGTAGAAAGAGGCGCAAAAGAAAACTGACTAGGGAAGAAACACTAGAGAAAAAAAGAATTGCAGAGAGACTCAGAAAAGAAAGAATCCGCTCCGACCCAGTTTTGATGGCGCTGTACAAAGAAAAAAACAAAGAAATGTATATTAGAAAAAAAGAACGAGGCGAAGTCATCCCTATGAACCTTTTGCCCAAGAAGGAACAGGCACTACGCAGAAAGAGAAACCGCGAAAACTTCAGGCAGTATTATCAAAGAAAAAAGCTTCAAAAACAATTAGAAAAAAGTGTTAAAATTTTTGTTAACGAATCGAACGATGATGATGGTGAAAATAAGTTTGACGATGACAGACATTAGACCATAATGTTACTTGTCAAAATTGCCCCTCCGCAGCCAAATTTGTAAACGTACTTTACATATTCTAAGATAGATGACTTACGTGTCAGTATATTAGGTAAATAAAAATAAAAACAAAATAAAACCTTTCGATTTCCCTGTTTTTTAGATCTATTTTTAAATACAGGATTGAAAAAAAAGTGTTTCAAAGTTAGTAACAGCGCTTTCTTCCAATCCAAAATATTCCTACGTAATTATACGTAGGTACTTTTTCCACCATCTCCTCTACTATGATCTAGGCTTGTCTAGTGTGCGATTTAAAGATTTACTTTTTCTCACATTCCTGATTAAAATATTATGTTACTTAATTTTCGTTTGTTTCGTTATAATGTTACTTTTATTTTGTACTCGAATCGGTACACAATTGTAATTGTTTTTTTTCTTTTTATTAATAAGTATTTACCTTTATTTGATTAGTAGGTTCGGCAAAATTATTTAGCATACACATTAAAGTTTCATTGAAATTGTGACTCTTTCTATTGAAGTTATGTTTCTAGTTTAAGAATAAACGCCTAATTATGTTTATTATCTATTTATTTTATTCTTTTTCTACTATATTTTCAAGGCAGAGATTCCGTTGGAATTCTATAATGTCTTTTCGAAGCCAAATGAGCACATTTTATTTTGAACATTAATTCGAATACTCGTTTACAGACATACCAAAAATTTATAAGGGTGTCCATAAAGTATTGAAATGGAAAGGGAACACCTTCGGGGTTCATAGCAGAAGTTATGATGGGAGGACACGCTGGCGATGCCACAAGCACAGCCGAGGCTGCAAGGCGTTTCTGATCACCTTCGAACAACGTGTAGTCAGAATGATGCTGAAACACAATCACAGGAACCCAGAGTCTGGCAATTGGAGTGACGAAGACAACGGCGCGGAAGTCGTATCGATTCCACTCCTCTTTACGAGTTAGCAGTAACGTAGGTCTAAGCGCTTCTTCCCAACAAGTCAAACCCAAACCAGTAACACTGTTACTCGTTGGAAAAAATACTAAGAAAAATTTACAAAATACATTAAAAATCAAAATAATTAGGTAATCTATGGATTTACAGTAAGAAAATACAGGTTAACGAGTGAGGGTGTGACTGATGGGATTTTTGTCGATATTTTTCCCAACGAGAAACCAGTGTTATTTGTTTGGGTGTGACTCGTTGGAAACAAGCGGATCTAATGCCCGTTTTCACCATCAATCCCTAGTTTTTAAGTGGCCCTTTTGAAAACAAAATTCCTTTTATTTGTTACCATAGGGGTCACTTAAAAATTAAGGATTGAAAACGGGCACAAGTGCCTTTTTACTGTAATGCGGATTTCGGCACGCATGCGGGCTGCGCTCACTTTCAAGTAAATTATTGAACTTCAACAGTTCATAGCGCGTGAGATATTGTTTTTTATTAATTGAAACCACACGACCTTCCGCCTTTTTTTTCGTGGGTTCAACTTCTGCCTTAAGCAGTAAGCAGTTTGATTTTTTCAAGTTATTTATAATTTTCAAATTAGTTTGAGATGCAACTCTTAGAGTAGGCGCACACCGTTGATTTTTCGTCGGCCGATAGTTTAGTCGGGCAGTTGATCAGTATGGGCATGTATAGGAGTGCGCACACTACGCTGATTCGATTTGGCCGGTTCTTCATACAAATTAAAACCGGGTACAACTATCGGCCAACTAAAAATCAACGGTGTGCGCCTACTCTTAATGCTAAAAATTAAATAACTGTTTAAAACCAGTTGGTCAATGCAATGTTAGGGATATTCCCTTGACGGCAACGCCATATTTCTTTAGTTGGCAGTCTTTTAGAGTGTGTTATTCGTTCGTCATTATTTACTTTTGATATTGACTTCAGAAGGCAATAAAACGATGGTTTGGCAAACCGAACCTCTTTGTTTTTGATATTTTTTATTTTTCTTAAGAATTCTGTTCTTGCCTGCTGTCTTGTTTGTAGTGTCTTAGCAACGGTACGAAATAAACGCGAAGTAAAACTTGGATATTTTTCACTCTTTTGCACGGCCAAACCTCTGATCCCTCACTGTCCTCAACAGATGGTTAGTGATGTTTTTATTTAGATATAGTACTCACTAGCTAGGCATAAAATTAGCATATTAATGCGTTTTCTCGATAATTGGAATAGGTTAAAAATGTCATAACAGTTTTTGTAAAAATAGGTAGTTACCTAGGGGGTATCCAGTATAAGGGTGCCCAAATAAAGTATAGCATTTATTATTTTTCTGACAGTGTTTATTGTTTAATTATTGTTTAGATNGCGTTTCTGATCACCTTCGAACAACGTGTAGTCAGAATGATGCTGAAACACAATCACAGGAACCCAGAGTCTGGCAATTGGAGTGACGAAGACAACGGCGCGGAAATCGTATCGATTCCACTCCTCTTTACGATTTAGCAGTAACGTAGGTCTAAGCGCTTCTTCCCAACAAGTCAAACCCAAACCAGTAACACTGTTACTCGTTGGAAAAAATACTAAGAAAAATTTACAAAATACATTAAAAATCAAAATAATTAGGTAATCTATAGATTTACAGTAAGAAAATACAGGTTAACGAGTGAGGGTGTGACTGATGGGATTTTTTTCGATATTTTTCCAACGAGAAACAGTGTTATTTGTTTGGGTGTGACTCGTTGGAAACAAGCGTGTCTAATGCCCGTTTTCACCATCAATTCCTAATTTTTAAGTGACCCTTTTGAAAACAAAATTCCTTTTATTTGTTACCAAAGGGGTCACTTAAAAATTAAGGATTGAAAATGGGCACAAGTGCCTTTTTACTGTAATGCGGATTTCGGCACGCATGCGGGCTGCGCTCACTTTCAAGTAAATTATTGAACTTCAACAGTTCATAGTGCGTGAGATATTGTTTTTTATTAATTGAACCCACACGACTTTCCGCCTTTTTTTTTGGTTCAACTCCTGCCTTAAGCAATTTGATTTTTTCAAGTTATTTATAATTTTCAAATTTTTTTTTTAAATTGATTCTGTTTTTGACTGCTGTCTTGTTTGTAGTGTCTTAGCAACGGTACGAAATAAGCGCGAAGTAAAACCACGGTAAAACTTGGATATTTTTCACTCTTTTGCACGGCCAAACCTCTGATCCCTCACTGTCCTCAACAGATGGTAAGTGATGTTTTTATTTATAGTGGTAGTACGCACTAGCTAGGCATAAAGTTAGCATATTAATGCGTTTTCTCGATAATTGGAATAGGTTAAAAATGTCATAACAGTTTTTGTAAAAATAGGTAGTTACCTAGGGGGTATCCAGTATAAGGGTGCCCAAATAAAGTATAGCATTTATTATTTTTCTGACAGTGTTTATTGTTTAATTATTGTTTAGATGGAGGATTTACCGAAATAATAAAGCAGAGAAAAAAATGGGACCCAGAGTCTATGAAACGTGCATACAATGCTATAATTAATAAGGAAATGGGATATTTAAAAGCATCCAAAGCTTTTCGCGTGCCTCGATCAACATTGGAGAGCTATGTGAAAAACCGTTCTAAAACAGTAGACCAATTAATTAATACGAAGATGGGACGAAAAGCTACTTTTATATAAATATAAATTATTAGACTTAATTTGGTTTGCTAATTTAAAGTACCTAAGTATAAGTAGTGATAAGTAATAATTGTAAGTGCAAATATATTATTTTTGAATTTATATGTGTTTCTTTTTAAGTTTTCACATATTTGGAACTTCACCCCTTATATAGTAGGTAACTAGAGTTTCGTTATATCATTACATACCTACGTAGGTATAAAACAAGGTTGCTTTCCGCTGTCTGTCCCTATGTAAGCTTATATCTTTTTAAACTACGCAACGGATTTTTATGCGGTTTTTTTTTAATAGATAGAGTGAAGAAAGAAGGAAGGTTTTTAAGTTAGTATACCAGTGCGAATCAGGGGCGGGTCGCTAGTTCCATATAAAATTATTCATCAAAAACTTAAAACAATTTGTTTTGTCAACTGACTGTCAGTTTTGTCGGCGTTTACCCGTGGTCCCCCCAACATGTCCCCCTGGTTGGTCCACGGGTAATTTTTTTTACCCGTTGTCCCACCGTTCTGAACAATTTTTGCCAGTGGGTCTCCGGGTAATTTATTTTAACCATAGTCCCACCGCACAGTGGTAAACGTTGCATGTCACCTAGGTATGATTATAAAAAAATCTATAATTATTAATTAGAAATGGCCCCATAGCAGACATTTTCCTACATCTAAAGGCCTTTTGAAATATACATATATTGGTTATGGCTATTGGAGCGGGTACCACTTTCCATACATTTGTGCCCATCATCCTTTAGGGGAGAGGGGGGCAGCTTTGAACAATTTTCATACTTTATTGAATATCTTCCAAATTTGAACGATTTCATTAATTTTTTCTTCCTAGATAGAGGTCATGGTTATCACACAACAAAATAATGATGTTCTTCTTAATTATTCATGAACGCTTATTAAGATATTTAGATTTTTGCACAGACCTGTAAACGTTCAAAACTGCCCCGTAGTCGGGGCAGCCTTGAACACGCCTGGGGCAGTTTTGAATTAGTATTTTTTTCAATGAAATAAAACTGAATATTTATGAATGTGTATTTTTAAAATAATTAATAAACAAAATTTTAAATTATCAGTGTCATTTGGGATCAATTTAACATGTTTATTTTATTTTACATCACTCTGTACAAAGTAACACAAAACTTAGGGATATTATTAAAAAAAGTAAATATAAGATATATCAATTAACTAAATACTAATAAACTTTCTGTTTAATGACACATCAAAGACAAAACTGCATAATTTAAAAAATATCAATCAACTACTAAAACTAGCTTTTGCCCGGACTTCACCCAGCTTGAAATTTTATCTGTCACAGTAAAGCAATCTGCTTATTTTTTATGTAAAAACCTTCTACGAAGTATTAGAAAACTTAAGGTTTCATAATACCACTTAAAGAAGAAAATTTATAAAGTTCAAAGGTGCCCCAACCATTTCGTTCAAAGCTGTCCCATGGGTATATTTCCAGAAAAAAACATAAATTTAATATCGGAACATACTTTTATATCGCAATTTCTTATCAAATCTTGATTGAAACTATTTAAACTTCCATATAGTAAACAAACCACTCACTATTTTATAAAACTACGTTCACAAAATCCTTAGAACCAAAATAAAAAAGTGCGAAATTGGCAGTCAAAAACAAAAAAACCACTTTTGCCGGTTAACCTACAGTTAGATATTAAAAATGAGATGTGACGGCTATGCGCATCAGTGCTGGCAATATAAATTATGATTTATACCATTGTAGCCTAAACCAGTGATTTTTAAATTCATTTGTTCTAAGCTGCCCCTGTCCAAAGCTGCCCCCCTCTCCCTACTTTCAATTTTATTCCAAGAAGAAAATTTATTTTATTTTATTTTATTTCCAATTATTTTTTAATTAAAATTGATGTAAAAAAAGAATAGACTTTCTATTTTATTTTATCGATTTTTTTCCAAGAATATGAGGTGACATGCAACGTTTACCACTGTGCGGTGGGACTATGGTTAAAATAAATTACCCGTAGACCCACTGGCAAAAACTGTTCAGAACGGTGGGACAGCGGGTAAAAAAAATTACCCGTGGACCCACCAGGGGGACATGTTGGGGGGACCACGGATAAACGCCGGTTTTGTTACCATTGACGTATAAAATATGATGGGTAAAACGAACTTTGTTACAGGTTACACACTGACAAGGACGAAGTATGGTATCTTGAGGTTAATATACAACGGGTACCGCTACGGCTTTAGGAGACAGACTGCCAACAAGATGTGGTATCGATGTGTGAAGCACACCAAACAATGTAAGGCCATGGCCATGGTCATAAACAACAAAGCATTCCAGGTAAATGAACATAACCACAGGGGCGATGCAAAAGGAGTGAAGGAGAAAAGAAGAAAAATATTTGAATAGATAAACTTACTTTATCAACTCGTCAAGAAAACGAAAACCTTAAGAAAGCATCATTTTTTAAGACTTAGATAAAAATGGTTTTTTAAATTTATATCTACCTACTGCATTAAGTCTGAGTTGCACCACCTAACTTTAACGGTAACTATGACGATAAACGGTGCTTTTTGTATGGAGTTTGACAGATTTTTGACGTTTGTTAGACTTAGCCTTTATTCGCATAATACCAGATTCTTAAAATATTAGATTATCGAAATAGCAGAATCTCAATATAACCAAAATTGAACACTCAACGTGAAAAATATATTTTTATTACCTATACAGGGTGTCCAGAAAGTAGAGGTCAAGCCGAAATGAACATATTACAGTCAAAGTAAGATGGTGGCTGGTGCAACCCAGCCTAAATGAATCAGATGAAGGCGAACCTGCTTCAATTAAAAAAGTATTTTAATCTTAATTCATAAAAATGTATTTTTTTATAAAAGTCAATACTGTTATAAAAAAAAACGAGCTTGTTTCTTTTTATTTTGTTGTCTTAAAAAGGCCTCTCAATAATATTAATATTAGTGAAAGAAATCACAATTAGTTAATTTACTTATTGTTATTAAGAATAAGTTTAGAATCTTTTAAGTCATGTTATTGGTAAAATTTTATTGTGCAGATTAATAAATGTAAAAGAATTTAAAAAAAATATCCACTTTCTAATAGGAAACTTTTTATAATACAAGGTATGGGCAACTTCCAATAGTTTTATTTAGAGCGTTTTGTATTAAATATAAATTTTATACTTTTAGAAAAAGTATTGCCTTAAATACAAATTGACCTGAAGTAGACTTTAGAATTCAATCAAATAATACTTTGTTTCGTGTATAACTTTATTATTATTTTTAGATGTCAATATTGAAAATACAAAAATAAATCGAAAAATTACCATGTTAGCTGAAGTTCAGAACTTAAATGAAGACATAAGTATAAGGGGGTCTCGTTTCAAACCACCAGACCATGTAAGATACGATGGTATCCACCATTTCTTAAAACATGGCCCCCAAGGTCGTTGTGTTCATTGCAAAAAAGGATTCACCACAGTTTTTTGTAGGAAATGCAAAGTTAGACTCTGTTATAGGAATGATAGAAATTGTTATTTTAATTTTCATTTTAAGTAGATTTTAAACAATAATAGTTTTGTTTATCCACAAATTGATTCGTTGATTGATCTGTTTGCAGTGTTCGAAATACTTATTCTTATCAATATTAGATTTTAGATATTATTTAAGTTTCTAACGTACCTACTATCTATTACGTACGAGTACCTACGTTAAATGTCAAATGATTAAGTAATATAAATATTCTAATTGAAAGAAAACAATGACAACGATGTTCAAGCAAATAAATGATTTTCGTTAAAAATCTGGTTTCATTTCCTACTTATTATCATTAAGAGCTGCTGCAGCAATTCAATAGCTGTTTGTATTGTTTATAAGTTAAATTTTAATATGACTTAAGAATACAGTAAAAAATAAATAATGTTAAGTCTATATCAATTCCAACTTTCGTCTTTTTCGGTGGACTTAAAAACTTTTGGTGTCTCCAATAACGCAACATCCAAAAAATCCAATGCTGTAACTCTTCATTATAACCCAAAAAATAAAAAAGTTTCTTTTACAGGTTTTTTTACCGCATCATACGCTTATGAAGACACGTCTTACGTCAACTCAGTTGAATCTGAAACTGAAGCTGACGTAATCGTAATAGGCGAATTGTCAAATCAGGAGATAAACAAAATAAACACTACGAGTAAATATTATATTCTGGACGGATATAAGTACAGCAAGCAGCGCGTGAGCAATGGGAAGGTTCGGTGGAGGTGTGTAAGACAGTGGGATAAATGCACAGCCAGTCTTTACACGTATGGGGATTCTATTATCAAAATGAACACCGACCACAATCACGAACCACAGGCACATAATAATAATACACAATAATATTTTTGTGAAAAGAAAAAATATATAATTTATATTTCGACATTCAATCATTTTTTTTATTAAATTTCTAACTTACTAACCACTTCTGGAAATTAAAAATCAATCTGTATAGTAATGGGCTCCACAATTTTTTTTTCTTAATAACGAAAACAAATATGGACCTAGCGGTATTTTATCATAGTTGACTTCATGTTGAAAAAAAATTTTTTTTTTCTTATTATACATATTTTATTAAGTGTCTTGAAAAGGCACAAAAAGAGAGAGACTATCATGAATAAATAATTTCTGTAATAAGAGAGCCTTAAAATTTACTGGTTATTATTGTAAAAATTACGCCAAAAGTGTTTCCAATATGTTTATTTATTTAGAAAAGAATAGAAATAGAAATAAATAAATTAGTTTCTGTATTTAGTTTTCAAAATAATGACTAGATATAAATAAGGTGTGGTAAACTATTTCTAAACTTTTTATTCAGGTAACACCTACGAGATCTACACGTACAAAAACAACAAATATATCATTGTGAATGGGTACAAATACAGCCTACAGTGTCAAACCCGAGACGTCATTAGGCGGTGGAGATGTGTCAAGCAAAGAAAAAAATGTACCGCTTTCATTAGAACAGTGGGAGACTTCATTTATGTCGTGAAGGAGGAGCACAATCATACTAAGTCATCATACTAATCATACTCATATATTGAAGCACTGACCGTATTACACACTGGACTGACTGTTGTTCAAATATTTTTGTGCCTATTTGAGTTTCGCCATTTTGGCGCTATAGGCCATACTGTATGCAGATGCGATTGTCCATTGTTCTTTAAAAGGCCCAGAACAGACGGTGAAACGCAACTGCAACGAAACTGCAACTTTCTGATGATTCTGATGAATGAAACTGAAACTGAAAGTTTGTAGCTGGTCGCGTCATGTGTGGTCTCTCAACGGACGCTATGGCAGAAACTTAGATGCAACTCAAAAGTAACTAGCAATTGCAGTTTCGTTGCAGTTGCGTTTCACCGTCTGTTCTGGGCCTTACTCATATAGGTTATAGTTCCAAAATACTGAACTGTCCTATCGATGAC